CATGACACTTGGCTGAACACTTCCTTCTTTTTCTGATTAGATGGTGTGATTAAAAGGTTTAATACTTCTGTCTGTAACTTAACTCAGTCAGACCAGCTTCAAATTCTAAACGTTGTTTGATCAGCACTGAACCAACAATAATATATTTGTGACCATCTCATTTGGACAGAACCAAATAGAACATGTTTGACCATAATCCGCAACACCAGGTTTGATTAAATACAGCGTATCAGCATTAACACCATAAACCAACTGTTCAACACAGTAGCAATGTTTTGGACACATTTTACATCCCAAGACCTGTGCACCTTTCAGTCATTGAGTCAGTCATGAACTCCTCAGAATAGCTTCAACAGAAGTCATCTGCCATCAGAACAATCTGCTTTGGTTCTTGGACTATGGCCACCAACTACCAGTATGTCCAAGTCAATAAAGTATCATGAACCTTGAGGCCTATAAAAACTGATGATGTTTTAAATAAATAACACATGACAACAACAAAAAAAAAAATCACTTGTTTTTTATTTGTATTGGAAATTTACATGACCAGAAAACTGCAACTAATTGTAACTAAAGGCAGCCAAAGCAGTAACATTAACTATTATTGGGCTTTGAGCTTGGAGGATACTGCATAATAAATTGGAGTTGTATCAGAGCAGCAGCTGGAATATATATTTGCGATTTTAATCACAAATGCACCATGAATAAAGTCTTCATTTGGATTGCTTCGAGACTTTGGCCACCGTGTAAATGTTACATCATTTCGGTAAGAAGAAAATTTCGTCAACATGATTATGTACATGGCCTTTTTAAGATTTTGTTTACAGTTTGTATACAGCTTGTTTGTTTACAGACTTTGTATATTAGCAGACTGATCAAAGATGAACATTTGCTAATATGGAAAGCATGACTAAAACAGATCTGTATAAGATGGTTGCATAAACTCACTCATGCTTTTTTCTTCCTGGCGAGGATAATGCTTTGTGGTTTAAAAAAACAAAAACAAAACTAACAAGTTGTGTGCTCCAGAATCAATGGATCAGAGGGAATTTGTTGGTCTCTTCAGTTCAGTCTTTTGTGTTGGGGAGTGTTGGGGCAGAGGTTAGAGAATGTGGGCCTGTGATTGGAAGATCTCTAGTTCAACTCCCCGGACTGACGACATCAAAATGGAAAGATGAAACACCCACACCTGCCTCCAGCTTTATTTGCCCCACAGTGAGCCCTTGAGCAAGGTCTTAAACACACACCATCTGCTACCCCGTGTGCCCTAGATGGCAGCTCTTTGCTCCACACAGAGGGCTGTGATAGCTTGGTGGTCTGTGGTTGCGTCAGGGAGGACATCCAGTGTAAAAACATTTGCCAAGTCTTTGTGTGAGTTAGTTCACTGTGGCGACCCCTGAAGAAGGGAGCAGCCGAAAGTAGAAGATTTGTGTTTTTATGTAAATATGTGCTTTATAAAGAATGAAACTTACAAAATCAAACGTGTACTTTGTGGTACTGTATTGTTAGTCTCACAATTTTTTTAGTACTATTTATAATTGTATACTCTGGTAAAATGCTGTTTTTATTTACTATTATTACATACGTAATGTTACTGTATGACTAAGTCATTTCCAGTACATTACATTTCCACTGGTCTGAAAACACGTTTTATTAAATTGATATAAAGTCGTTTTATGGTGGTTGTTGATGCAATATTATTTTTGCTTTTTAT